GAAATACTCCTAGTCGCTTCATGCTACAGAAACCGGGATAAGCTCCGGCCTGATGGGCCACTTGGCTCGCATGCAGACTTTACCTTTACCTTTACCTTATTAATGATAGACGCCATGTTTGTTTTCATATTACAACTGGTTTCCTTTTATTTCTCATACTTTTTACGAATTCATGCTATACTTTTAGTACACTAGTATAAAATACTGGAAAGTTTAGGCAGTTCCGCTGCAGTGACTTGGAAAGCAAAAATATCGATTAACTCAAATAGGCAGAATAATAAAATCAATAGTTCATATATGACCATATATGGATTTCTTAACTCATTTTGGCACAAATGTTTCACTGTTAGGACAAGTCGACTTTCCAGACACTGTCTTCTTCCAGCGCTTGCTTTCTGTCCGATCATTCGGCTAATTTGCATATGGTTATAACAAGAATTCGATATTCACCTGGCCACCATCGTGAATAAAGTGTATCGAGTGAAACAGTCGCAATCAACGCTGATTGATCAGCGGTATATCTTAAACTTAAATTTGTTTCAGTTATTAACTACCGGCCATCTCGAAACTTTACCCGAACTCTTTTAAGTTTACATAGCAGTTCGAGATAGTTCGAATTCAGGTTCAATTGTATGACATTGTATCCCAACAATTTACCAACAAGACACTTTCGAACGTTCGTGAACGTGATGCAAATATGGGGTTTTGACCAAGCTTGGTCGATGGATGGATATTCAGGGGGCAAGGTCCTTTTCACCCTGCAAGCAGGGTATAAAGATACAAGCATAAAGACAAAGTAAAAAGAGATAAAAGAGGCTCTGCTCGCAGGGTGGGTCCAAAACATGCAAAAAAGGACGAGACCAATATCCAACCATCTTGACCGAACAAACTTGATCAATAAAGGATTTATTATATGGAAAAGAACACTGTTCTTTATTTTTTTGCGGGACAGAGCGGGTAATCCCGAACGGGCAAGATAGCGCCATTTTGCCCGCTAGGATAGCCAATCCCAGCGTCGGATCCGGCGATTTATCTTGCCCGCCAACGGAGCAAGTCATATGATAACACTTGTTCAAAGACTATGACGCGTTTGATACCTGAACGAGAGACATTTACTCAGCTGTTTTTTCATTATTTCTTTTTAATTCATTGCAGCTGCATGTCACTTTAAAGATAGTTTGTAAAAGGATACAAAGTTCCATACTTCAAACCACTACAAACTACCGTAGTTATACTATTAATCAGTAACAGTAGTAATGGAAGAATTTGGATCATACACTAGCCTAATTTTATACAAAATAAATTATGACCAAAAAAAATGTACGCCGGACTTTACTATGTCGACAAGGAGCACAAGAAACTTGAAGTTGATAAAGGTCAAGAGACCACCGTTAACAGTCAATGTTTCGAGGGTCAGCCCTTCGCCAGTGCAACAGTCTTCAATAGGCCTGTCCCGATTGTACTCGTAAAATGCTGGAACCTTGCTCACTGGAATGCCAACATGTTGCTAAAAATTACCAAAAATCCAAAAAATTGCGACGTAAATTTCAAAAGTTGCTTTTTATAAAATTCTAATTAAAAGCTTTATTTTTCTTTCTTCACAATAACTACTAACGGTCATCGGTCAAGAAAACTTAGCTTTTAATAAAGAGTTGTTAGCAAATATGGGCGAAATTTAAGGATATTCTTAAGTTTAACGGCACAAAACTATAGACCTGCGAACAGGTTATGTGTTCAAACTTCAAAAAAGTCGATTAAATTTCAAGAAATTCGCATAAATGGAAGTTTTCTATGAAATCGTTGTGCTTGATATGTGTTCTAAACCTATATTTTGCTCAAAAGTTGCTCAGAAAGGCAAAACTTACTCGAGGTTGCTAGAACCGCAAAAAATTGCTTTAAACGCCAAACGTTGCGCAAAAGTTGCGGAGGACAATTGGGGCAGTTCTAATCTTGAAGTAATGCACTGCATTTTTCAATCTACTGGCAGCAAAAAGAAAGGAATTCTCGAGCTATGTCTGTCAATCAACTCATGTCCTAAGTGGAATGTCTGACCTTATCATAGCACGATATCAATGTTTATTATTTGACGTTGCTTTTTATTTCCAAATGCACCACACAAACACACACACACACACATACACGATGTAAAGTTTGGTTGTCACATGACCTGGTACCTCCCGATCAGTCTTTAAAGCAATGGTATTTCACGGCCACATGAGTCACTGAAAACAGTCCATTCTGGCCATAATTGACAGTAAAGTGACATTCGTATTTTCCTTCGATTTGTCGTCGGCTTTGGTTGCATTGCCGAACAGCGTCCGATGTTGACGTCATAAGTACACTCGTTCCATTGTGGTGGTTGATTGTTATTTCGTCAATGACAAAGCGGGTGCCAGGCGACGAACATCTTAAGATAATTGGAAAAGTCGATGAAATCACTGCAAATACAACAGACAGAACAAACTGTTTGAGCGCCTACGGCCAGAGAACAGTAGCTTGGTCTTGCTACTCCTTTTCTGACAAGACTTCCATTTTCTTAGAACCGGAAGTTCCATCAAAAGGAGGAGAGAAAAGGTCGAGGGACTGGATTGCGCGTGCATTTTAATTTTCGCAAGCGTAGGTTCGCAATAGCTACATGCCTCTATGAGACTTTGTTCCTCTTGAATTTTCTATGGATAAGAAGGATTCAAAAATAATACCAAAGGAAAGTGATCGTTTTTTATTGATTCATTTTGATTTTACGTGATTGCAAGGAGAAAACCAAAAAAACAGGCAATAATTTTCCTTATTTATTGCCTTATGCAATGTACGCTAAGATTAAAGTCACTAGCATCATATCACGCATGTGAAAACAATACAAACAACAATAATGTCAGCATACTAAGCAGGTATGAAGAACTCACGAGCACGCCGCAAAGAAAGAGCAACAACAACAACAACAACAGCAACAACAACAACAACAACAACAACAACGAATTGTACTACCTGTACAGGGTCTGCTGTGAGGACCAACACAGTCTATTGTGGTCAGCGGATCGCCAAGGCACAAGCGCTTGCGTGACAGAGTCGGGAATCTCGTGCAGTCCAAATCAGCCAACCAGCGAACAGTCAGGTTGGCGCAATCCGTCTTAACTTTCTCGCAGAATCTCTGACAGGGCGGTAGTGCCGTTCCGTCAGACGTACAAAACGGTGCAAACAGGAAACAAGCGAAGCGTTTCAACTGAGTAGAGCAATTAGACTCGAGCTGTGATTTGAATTCCTTTGTTTCGAAGATACGACTCACAACAGACTGGCTGGTATGGTTCAGGAAGTTTGGCAGTATGGTATGAGTATAGTTCAAACTTTTACACATTGCAATCCTCAGTGGCTGGCAGCGTTGCTGTGGTTTCATTACCTCTGTCGCTGAGTTTGGAAATAAAGTCAACAATAATGTCAGATAATGTTAGAGTAGATAGACGATTCGATTGAGGCATTGATCCACTTAAATTCTCATTGTACCTAAAGAAGGCTGGTTTGGCCAGCCGAAATTTAGTACACCTTCCAAATAATCATCCTACGTTGTGTCGGTTTCTGCTCTTATATTCTTGATCCACAGCCTCCTACGCGGCCATTCTCTGGGCCCAAAGAGCATCTGCGCAAAGAGGCTATGATCTACTGTATTTCTTCTAATTCAAGCTTGCGCCGGTCTACGGCATCTTCAGGGAACGCATTATTTTCTTTACCTTCCCTGACTATGCCGTAGATCAGCGAAAGCTTAGAATTAATAGAAATACAGTGACTCCAGGCCTCAATCGAATCGTCTATTTAACTACCCAACATGCTACTGAAGGACAACTTCAAACTTTTAATGTCAGGAAAGTCGATCGTAATTCTCTTTGCAATAAAACACAGTGTTCACTGTATGAGAATGGTAGGTTCCACTGGACATTGCAATTAACAATTATTCCACGAGCGCTCGTTGGATATATAAACAATAGCTTCCATTTGGCGCGGAAATTTGCCAGGATATTTGTCCGCGGACATTATCTGTTCCGAGAAGCGAACAGTTTTCCGAGAGCGTAGCTCGAGGAAAACTGTGAGCTTTGAGGAACAGATGATGTCCAAGGACAAATATCCTGGGATATTTTCGCGTCAAATGGAGGCCACTGTGTTTATTATCCTTCAAATCTTTTTCGCGAGACGCGCAGTTTTGAAAATTGGGGAATATTCTCGGATATTCCCCAGTTCTAGCTGGGGAATATTCGGTCACGTGACGTGTTCAGACCAATCGCGCGCGAGCAAAAATATTTGATGCATTACAAGAGATGGTAGATAGCAAACGACTCGCGTATTTATTAAAACCGCCCCCAGAATACAGAAAACTAAAATAAAAGTAAAAACGTCCCCAAAAATCACGCGTACGCTTAGCATATTTGTAGAGCATGATATAATGGCTCATATACCATGATGGCTAAGCCAACTCTTGATTTGCATAATCCAATGATACTGTTTTTCATAACAAAAATTCTATCTTTTTACTTGACGTTTCGTATGTTTCAAAATACATCTTCAAAAGTGACCGTTTAGAATAGAAGTAACAACTAAATTTAAATTTAAGAGAAGTAACTAATTACTGTAATATTTAAGGAACAATAAAAATGAATGACGTAAGGTGAAAAAATAGGGTATTAAAAACATGCAAATTAATAAATATAAAGCTTTTCACTACTAACATTATCATTTAGGGTAGGTTACATAAAATGGGTATCCGACCGTCCTGTTGCTAATATGTCAAGGTGGTCCCATTTTACGTTATGACCAGGAAACGTGACGTTAGCCTGCGAGCAGGCTCCAGTGTTTGAATTTTGCACTCAAGCACTGCTATTTCACTTTTCACTTTGGCGCAAGAGCGAGTTTACGAACGACGCGCGTTGCGGAACGAAGGACGTCGACTCGAAGCGCGCCGGCTCGCCTCGCGCGTCTCTCTGTCGCGGCTTCGCCGCTCGCGTCCCCGGCCCAAAACACGAGAACCTGCTCGCGGGCTTACGTGACGTGGTCTGCAATAGCACTTACGTGACAGCTACTCGTGATCAATTAAACAGTTAATACGTAAACCTAATTTTTAGATATAACATCAAATAAAATGTATGGAATCATTGGAAAGAACTGCTACTTACTCTTTTGACATTTGGCTTTTGGTTTCAAACAGAATCCCTTTTTATCATTCAATGGAAACCGTTTACAGTCCATAAATGGTGGCCATGGGTAGCCAGCAGTTATCATGTCGGGCTCACAGCCGCGCCTTACCTCCTCGCACAATCCTCGACAAGGAGGAATGATGCCCACCATATTGATAACACAAGGAGGGACATACAACACGCACAGAAAGAACTGGAGATTTTCAGAACAGTCCTTGTTCACCAGCGGTGTAAATACACGCATTCTGTCCTCCGCGTCTTTTTGTGAATTGGGGTAGAAAAAGTTAGGCATCTGAACGAGGTTGTACCCCAGACCATGACACATGCTTGAGTTGTGTAGTGGTTCACATTGCTCCGGTACTACTATCGGTTCCAGGACTGTAGAAATACAATAGGAAACAAAAAGATTTATGATAGATCTTACATTAAATCATAATTCACAAAATACTAGTTTTCGAAACTAAGATTTTTTGATTAGCAGGAGAACAAATCTTGTTTTTAAATTACTTCTTTAATAGAAATAAACTGTACGTAGAATACACTAAAAATCAAAGTTTAAGGGCTAAATTTCGGCTTTTAAAAATAAGAACCGGCTCAGTCCAAAAAGAAAAAGACTGTCTTATTTGAAAATCACAAAACAGAAAAAATGATGACAAACTGTGTTAATTTGGTAATAAGATTGTGCACTCACCCGTAATTTCAGTAAAAAAAATTGTTTCTTGGATATATAATCAGATGATCTTGAAACAAATCTGCGTTGGTCCAAGTGGTCCGCATTACCGGAGCCTATCACGGTGTCTATAGCATTTGGCGACTCGGAGTATTTCTAGACCCATAGTTAGTAGAGGAGGATGGTTATGAAACCCACATCCAGGACCGTGCACAATCTTCTGTTTTGCGCTCATACACTATGCATGAATTACGTAACCAAAACATTTCTATTGCTTAGTTCCTCGGTCAGTAGTAAACAACTATTGTGTTTTGTGCACGGTCAAGGCCAAAAAAGAGAACGAAAACATACAACAAAAAACTTTGTCGAGTTTCAAAACCACTCCCCTGTTAACTATGCTGGACCTTAGTACTTCAACCTAAATTGGATGCCAGTCCATCGTAGGGTTACCCCCA